TTGAAGATTACTTCCTCCGGCATAGTAAGCAGCCTCCTGAATTCAACAAGCTCTAGTGACAGGCTTTTCATAAAATAGACTTTGAGTGAGGCATGTTTTTTCACAGTTTGAGTCCTAGCTTTTTTCCTCGAGGGTACAGCTATACTCCAAATAGCTTTCCCTCTCTTTCTGCTTCTCTCTAAGCTCCAGCTTGAAACACCTATAGTTAATCTCATGCAAGTCGCTAGCTATTTTTTGGAATAGCAGCATTTCAAAACCAGTAATCTGTTGTGCTTTGCTCTACCTGAATTATGATTTTAAAGCAGTTAACAGAAAACATTGGAATATTTGAATAACAAAGGCAGAGAATCAGAAAAAAAAGGCTGTCTCCTGTTTATGACTGCTCTGTTGGCATGTACATGCTGAAGGATGTTTACAGCTCCAGGCAGATTACAGGCCAGAACTCCAGCAGTAAAATGATCCAACTACTGTACTCTGACTTTTGCAAAATATGGGCACACGGAGGATATTGCGCAAGCGCTGGAGCGGCTGCACAACCTTTCACTTACTAAACTTTGCTCAGCCAGGCCTGACCCAGAGCGTGTTTGTGTGGAGCCGGCAACCTTTCACCCACTTTGGCTATTTTCGCCGCGCCGGGAGCCCTCTCGGCAGTGTGACAACTTCTGCAGCTGTGTAATGTCGGGTGGCAGAAAGCGAAGCGCAGGAAGACGTGATCCTGGCTTTAACGCTATTTCTGTCAATTTTTCCACCCAAAGGGCTGCATATATATTTAGAAAATAAATCTCACGACATGTTGGTGGAATAAAGTATTGACCCAGATGGATAAATGCTGATCTGTACGCAGACTGGGATCGAGGGCTTTGCCCATGGTACTGCTGGAAATTTGACCAAGTGCCGCAAATAGAGCTCACGCCTTTCAGTCACCAGATCACTCCTTCCTTCCCACTCTAAACCTGTCTGCCAAACCCTCCTCAATAATAGTTAGCCAATTTCAATCAAATTTAAAAAGATAATCCATTTGCTACAAACCTTGTGCAAACCGGCAGCTGCATTAGGAGAAGAGATTCAAATTTTGGTCCACATTGAGGACAAGGCAGGGGAAGCTCAGCCAAGATGCACCCTACTAGACAGCAGCAACCCCGCCAAGTGTCACACATATTTCTGCTGGGCAGGAGAGAAGCTCCAACCCCAGTACAGCACGTTGTGTCTCCAGCACCCGTTGGCAGGTGGATTATGAGGAAGAACCTTAAATTTGCCTCCCCACTGAGGAAATGGCAGGGCAAAGTCAGCCAGGACACCTACTAGACAACTGCAACTCAGCCAATTGTCACGTATCCTGGCTCGCCAGGAGCACAGCTCTGCCCTAAGCACGGCACGTTATGTCTCCGGCACCCCGGATGACATCAGGAACACTGGGAGGGGGAAGCTGGGGGGGGCAGCAACGGATAACATTTTAGGGGACAAATGAATAGCACTGTGGTCTTATTCCTTCTGCTGTTTTGGAGCTAGCTGCTGTGTAAAAAAGGAGAATGTTATCAAAACTCATTTTCTTAAGGATAGTCAGCAAAACATTACTGTGGTTGAAACAGCTGAAACACCACCAGCAACTGAAAGCATCATTCCTCCCTTTTCCAAACTTGCCTTTGGGCATTTCAGAAGAGAAAAATAAAATATTAAAATAGGAACAACGAGAAAACATTTGAGTGGATACCACAGTTCAGATCTGGCACTGTTTTTCACTATCACAAAGCTGTTTTCTAGTATCAGTACTCGTAATTGCCAATGCACTAGGGCTTCAGGAGGAGAGGGAAAACGGTGATTTAGAGAGGAAAGAAAGAGAGAACAAACAGTACTGTAGTTAGGAGAGATAGTGGAGTTATTTCAAACTGTTATGATAGTCACTGCCCAGTTTTTTATTCACATGCAACTTGGCTGACAAGGAATCCAGTTAAGTTGTTACTTTGTGCATAAAAAATAGCTGCTGGGCCAATATTCAGAACATTCCTAACAGTTATTGCCCAAATATATCATTCATTTTTTCAGGAACGGGAAGTCATATTGCTCAAAACATTCTGTGGTGTATAAACCATCATGCACTTCCTTCCAGAAGCAGTCATTAGAGTAACAAAACTGTTAGTTGTTGGAATAATATTTATGGACTGCTGGTATGTAAAATTCTTATAGAAGTTTGGTTTGTTTTGAAAAGTGTCCAGGTTTTGAGCTACTGGAGCCTTATTCTTTCAATACTTGGGAAAGCCAACACTTTCCCT